AGGGAAGGGAAGGGAAGGGAAGGGAAGGGAAGGGGTCATGCAGATGTGTCTGATGTGCTGTGTCCTGGGTCCCGTCTGCAGGTGTGCGATGCTGCCCAGGGCTTGCAGGAGGTGCCGCGGTGTCTCAGTGCCACAGTCTGGGCGGCAGCAGGAGGACACACATGAATTTCATTTTGGTTGAGATTGATCAAATAGCTAGGGAAATAAGCAGTAGATTTGAGGGAGTTTGACAGAAAAATTGAACCACTTAAAGCCCAAAGTGCATTAGATATTGTTTCTGTATTGTAACTTTCTAATCTGCCTAAAGCAATGTCTGAAAAATTTTCTTATACCCCCTGGCTCCTATACCTGTTCCTGCTGTGATGCAGGAAAATCTCACTCATTTAAACCTTTAATAGGTAGTTTTCTATTTTCCCRTCTCTTCTGTGCTTAAGCAGCACACACGATGCTTATTAAGGAGCTTGGAAGTAGTGCCATCTTTTGTTCAGAAGCTTCTGTTAAAAAAAACAATGAATATATTTCTGCAGATAATTATTTACCAGTCTATCCAATCATTATTCTCCTTTACTTTGCCATATCTTTGGAGARTTCTATTTTTCTGGTTTTTGAACCAGATCGCCTTCTTCCTGGCGCATCAAAAGCACAGAGCCCCCCTCTACTTCTCCTTTCAGACACAAAGATGGTATGGAAAGCACATCTGATTTTTAGTGCAAAATATGCAARCTTTCTTCACCCTCTCTTGATGGTGTTAGCACAAATAAAATAACAGAAAAATACTTTGATGGATATTTTATTGGGCAAAACAGAAACTTCTGAAGAATTAATTGTTCTGTCTGGTGATAGTTTTATAGGTTTGTTTTGCTGATAGTTTTACTAGGATGAAAAAGTTGCAAATGAGCATGAAAACATCCAAAAGGAATATGTTAAACACTCCACTCAACTGCTCACCCTTTGCAGAAGATGTAGTGGGTGTCTGCAGACTTCACACATCATTCATATTTATCTCTTATACAGCAGGACAGCTTTATTTTTGCACTGGAACAGCTGTTAATGAGAATTTCACATCTTTCATAATGTTTATTTGCCTTTCACCATGGCTTCCAAGCTCTTTCGACATAAAATCAGTAGGAAAAACTTAAGTCTGCACAAGTGTTTCTCTGTCTCTTCTACATTTGTTTTTTTTTTAGGTGATTAAAATATTTTTTTAGACTAATTCTATTTTGAAGTGTCAGCTATGGGTAGACATGTATTAAGGTTACAAAAGTTACAGGGAAAGCTTTTCCCAGACAGAAAACAAGCTGAAAAATGAAACATTTAGGATGTTTGGAGGAGTCTGCAAACTTAGTCCAAATTCGCGAATTTTGCAAAAGTAGAACAGATCTTTTAAACTCTTACGTTGCCATAGAAACTTTATCAGGGATACGAATGGGTATTTTATGGAGTTGTAGAAAACCTTTTTAAAATTTTTGTAGGTTTCCARTCATGATTAGCAAACCAGTGCTCTGTTCACTTACTACATCGCTTTGCTTTTCTTTTTCTTGTCAAACAGGTGTGTTTTATGAAGTTGTTCAGAGCTTCCCTCGWGTGGAGGAACATGTGCAGGTGGATTCATATGTAAACAGCCACAGGTGGAGGAGGCACTCAGAGTCCCTCAAATCCGTGGACACCAACAGAGCCAGCATGGGGCAGGATTCCTCGGAGCCAGGTGGTTTCACGGACCTGCTGCTTGAAGAGGGACACGACAACACCACGCAGATTGAGGTAGACTTTCATTCCATCTATGTTTTTAATTCATTTTATTGTCTTTGACTGTGGATAAGTAAAAAATTAGAACTTTTCCTTTGGTGTATTCAGACACTGATGGGGAAGAGTACCTCTGGTCTTTGTGAACCTGTCAGCACAGGGAAGCTGAAGTTTTCTGTTGTCCTGAGCTGGAGCCTGTTCTTWCACTTTTGAAAATAGTCTCTTGAGGATGTCTGCTTTGCCGTAAAACAGTTAAGGGAAGTCCCATGTTTTAGCAGCTCTTGCTGGAGAACTGGAAAAGGAAGTAGTGTTAAAATAGAATATTATGAGAATTATTTTTTGAAGCTGGTGTAAACACCTCAATTCACAAGACTTTGTCTAATCTTTATGGAGAGTGATATCCAGGCAAAAAGGAGAAGAGAGAAATGAGAAATTGGAAGAATATTCAGATTGGTCATTGAAAAAAAATTGCACATTATTTGATTTTTGGTCTTCCAGACAATAAGATGGGGCAGTTCCATCTGTGTGTAGTCTTAGGTCATTCTCCCTCTGTTTTATGATGTCATTCAATTTTAATTTCTTGTTTAACTGCCCAATAGGTCTCTGTCCTAGTTTTTTTGTTCTGTTGTTGGGGTTTTGTAAGTACTGGGGTTGGGAGGTTGTTATTAATAAAATCTACATCCTGTTTTTCAATAAAATGCAGCTTGGAATAAGTTACACTTAACATCTTCAGTCATTATAATCTGCTTCCAAAACAACAGTGGTTGTTGGTTTTTCTCAGTTCTGAGCAGCTCAATCTCAGAGGAGAAAAGAGCAGCTTTCAGATTTTGCGTTGTTATATTACACAATAAAAAAAGCAGTGCAATATAAAATCCATCTGCAGAGACAATGGCATCTCTACTGCATGAGTAAAAAAGCCAGTGCTTTCTGAGAGGTGTGTTTTGTGTTTGTTGTTTTTAAGCTTCCCATTTTGAGCAGCACTAATTACATTTCCTCTTGTACAAACATGAAAGTCACTGGTTGGTAAATTGTAGTTTTGAATTTCATCTTGATTTTATAACTTCCTTTTTTGCCTTTTGCAATCCCTATCTGCCCATACTTGCAGCAATTCATTGGGGCACAACACCAAAGAATCTTGCTTCTAGTTATTTGTATTTATTATTGGAGGTAAAGTGCAAGCTGTCTCAGGAACAGGGAGGTTTTGCTGGCTGATCTTTCCATGGCTTACCCATAGATACCTAAGCAGTGTCTCCATTCAGCTGGATTCCAACCTCTTAGGAAGTAAAATGGTCAGAGCTCCCCCTCTAACACTTATGTTTAGAAAATAGGGGAAAAAAATGAATGCTTGCAAATGGATATACATAGAATGGTATTTTTCCAGGAGCATCTTTCCTGATAGATTAATGGATTTACAGAGTCTTTACCTGAAAAGTTTATTGAATTCAGGTTTTGTGTTCTGTTTCAAGCCTCTTTTTCTGAGGYCTTTTCAGCACAATAAGATAACTGAGTTGTGGTTTTACACGTTATTGGATTCCATTGAAAATCCCTACTACAACACAGAGGCATCTCACATAAAAACCCTTGATGCCTGGCCTTATAGAGGAGGTAGGGTGTACAACAGATACCCACGGAGAAAGAATCTGTACAGTGCAGTCTTCTGCAGCTTGGGAGCTTATCAGCTGTGTTGGAGAGCTTATTGATTATTTTAAATCCTTGCTCTGTGTACACTGCAGTGCTTGCTGAAGAAAATCCAGAGAATGAGTRTAACCTGCCACTTGTATTTAGTGATGCTACAGGATGACAGCATCCCTCTTTTATAGTTTCTCTCTAAGGTATTTTGTAGGCTTAGCATGCAAAAGGAGACATCTTTAAATATGAAGACTGACAGTGATGAACATGTTTTCACTTGATATTATTTTCTGTCCTTCTTTATAATGGTGAATTTACTTTCTCTCCAGGTTCAGAAACCCAAACCAAACAGCCTTTACTCCCTCTCTCACTCCTACCCCTCCCTGCGAAATAATCCATAATAAAACAAAAACTAGAAAACAGCAAAACCAAAACAAAAATAAATAAACAAATAGAATTTAAAAATTAAATAGGAAAATAAATTCAAAACAAAGAAAAAATAAAACCAGCCAAGGACAAAAGGGAAGGCAGTAGGCAGGAATTTCTGTAAGCTGTTTAAAACTACTCTGAATCAGCTTGACTGGGAGCATGAAGTGCAGATCTTTTAAAGCTCTTCCTGAAAGTGCATTGTAGATTGCTTTGTGAAATCTCTCCAGTAATCAGGACCTCCTCCTATGCATAGGAAGGATGATAATGGTGAGATTTTCTTTAGGGTGCATCCTTTCTAGTCCAAAAAGCAGTGCAGCCACCCMGGTGGGACCCCAGGTGTCTCTCTTCACATCTCAGTTTTGTCTCCTGCATTTGTTTGGCACTGTGCTTTAGGAAAGGACTCGTGCAAAATTATATACACATTCATGTGCTTTTTTAAAGGAAAGACGTTCTCTTGAAATGCTCTTTAACTGAATTGCAGAGACTAGCARAAGCAGTGGCTTTGGCCATTTGATGTGCTGGACCTTCAAAAAAGAGCAGGGGCCTTGGGAAGAAAAAGCTAAGACCTCCAAGTCCCATTGTTTCTGGAGAATAGGAATATTGTCTGCAGGTGCAGTGTTGTGGTGGCACAACCCCACAAAGATGGATGGTGCCAAAAGAAAAGCAAAGGACATGAAGAACAAGTTTTTGCTGTAAGCCACATAGGAGACCTGATAACTAACTGTAAATTATGGGGTAAAATCAATGGATTGATTTTTTAAATCAGAAACACTTAGTTCAACAGAATGACTATCTTGAAAGTATTCCTGTTTTCTTGCTTTAGTAGGGGTATTACAGTGTGCTAATGTTGCAAATCCAAAAAGCTTCCCAAGGGTGGGGTTTAGTCCCATCTGCTTTATTTGCAATTGGTAGTTTGGAGCTCAAATGCAGAGGGTCATATTCCATAACAGACTTGATATGTTTTCATTCCCATTGTATAAAATACCTACAGAGAGAGAGAGAAAGCTCTGAAGACAGATGAGAGTGTTGTCAAGAGTGAGGTCCCATCTTATAGAGATGGGCACAAATGTTCTGAGAGAAATCCCCAAAACAGATAGCCTTGGGAAAGATAAAGAAATGTATTGTCAGCAGTCTAAACCAACTGTAAGGGGTAACCCCCAAAAGACAGAATTCTGTTGATGCATTGAAACAATTTGGCTTCTTGGCTTTGTAACAAATGAGTTTGAGAGGCTCCATTGAAAATATGAGCACCCRTGGCTCAGCCATATTTCTTCTCACAGGTCACAAAGCCAAACATTAAAGCCTTCTACCTGGAATAACTTTGAACCTGTCAGAATTCTTCTTTCTGGAGAGTTTGTTTCTCAAATTTCTGGAATTTCACAATCTCATAATTTTGAGTCTAGCTTTCCTTTTTGTAATTCTTGCTTCTCCCATCTTTCTTGGGATTCTTCTCTCCTGTTTTGAGAGTCAAGGTTGTTTTGATTTTTTTCTTATGTAATCTACTACTTTTGTTTATTGTGCTCAGGACATTTAGAAGTGCCTTTTACTTATGATAAATAGAGCCCAGGAAATGCAACGTGTCAGATGGAATTTGTTGCTGCAAACAGTGTAAGTCCTTGTAAAAGCAGTGAGTGTGAAAATACATCTTCATGAACATGTCCAGTTTGGCATGTTTTCTTTCAAGCAAGGAGAAAAATAAAACAAATGTACTATCTTTCTTCATATACTCTTGTAAAATAAAAGTATGCTTTATAATAACTCACTTTTATTAAATAGATTAGTGTAAATATTGTTAAAATAAATTCGGGTTTATGGTGATGATGTGACCATTTGTTCTGTTAATCCCCTAAGCCATGTAGCCAAGCAGATAATGAAGGCAGGTATCAGAGGTTCTTTTTGCTTGTTCGTTTTTTGCATTTACTTAAAAAGCTGATCGCTGAAAGGCATCTGGTATGGATGCTGGTTCTCCAGAATTCACCATTGAGGGATCCACAAATTCCTGTTTTGCCACAGTACTTGCTTATGCAGGTAYTGAGCACTGGAAAACAYTTAATAATGCARTAATATGCAATTAATGTATTAATAKACAATTRTGCATTGCACAAATGTTACATCGYAATTTTTTCATAGTTTAAAATGKGCATMATTTTTCAAGTGATTTCCTATGTTTTTGGCTATGWGAAGCTCCATAAAGAAAAGTTTCTCCCTCTAGATATATAGCTTTGGTATCTATCACAAATCTTCCTTGTGACTGCAGTCACCCCAGTGCAGGGTAAAATCACTGACAAGCAAAACACAGAAAAATTGAAGTGGAGAAGTCTCTGATATATAGCTTGCACWGGCATGAGCAGAAGGTGAAGAACTTTGCAAAATAACTTTAGATCATATGAATTGCTTTCAAATTTTTTTGCCATTGTATAGAGATACTACATCAAAACAATAGTCTTTCACAARCTTCAAATATCAAAAATAAATCCAGCAATAAAATAATAGATTAAATCATAGTCAAGCTTGAGCTGAGTGCAGTAAAGTTTTATTGCTTTGCACCAGCAAAAATGTGAGGAAAGCATAATTTTTCATATGAAGTCTTACAGCAGAATGAATGATTGCAACTATACGACAGAAGAAGATTCAGTTCGGAGCAAAAACCAGCATGCTGAGCATGCTAAATCAAACCAAACTCAACTTYATCTTATTTTCTCCACCCCACCTAACATAATACTAGCAAGCATAGAAAATTGTGGCTATATCCGTGCAATTTTTTTTTTCTGTAGTGAAGTGATTCGTTTATTCCTGTGGATGTCACTGATATCTCCTGCTGTGTACTGCTTTTAACTAAAATAGAGTTGTTGCCAACTGAATTCACCCTTCTTTCTTTTTTCTCTCCTTTTTTTACTTTCTCTAGATGTTGTTTGAAATGTAAATTTTAGCAGCCTCAGTAGTTTGTACCTGAAAAGCGT